GGGGTCGTAACAGTGGGCCTGATGGATAGAGCTTCATCAGAGCTAAACAACAAAAGAAATCTGAAGCTCCTATGTTTAACAGTTTTTTTTTAGCTATAACCATTTTTGTATGTCCAGATACCCCATTTTCAGATAAATCGGGGGTCCGGGGGGTGGGGGGCACTGATTGGTGGGCCTGATGGATAGAGCTTCATCAGAGCTAAACAACAAAAGAAATCTGAAGCTCCTATGTTTAACAGTTTTTTTTTAGCTATAACCATTTTTGTATGTCCAGATACCCCACTTTTTCAGATAAATTGGGGGTCCGGGGGGTGGGGGGCACTGATTGGTGGGCCTGATGGATAGAGCGTCATCAGAGCTAAACAACAAAAGAAATCTGAAGCTCCTATGTTTAATAGTTTCTGAGTTATTAGCAATTTTTTATGTACAAGACCCCCACTTTTTCAGATAAATTGGGGGTCCGGGGGGTGGGGGGGCACTGTGGGCCTGATGCATAGAGCTTCATCAGAGCTAAACAACAAAAGAAATCTGAAGCTCCTATGTTTAATAGTTTCTGAGTTATTAGCAATTTTTTATGTACAAGACCCCCTTTTTCAGATAAATTGGGGGTCCGGGGGGTGGGGGGCACTGATTGGTGGGCCTGATGGATAGAGCGTCATTAGAGCGAAACAACAACAAAAAAAAATCTGAAGCTTCCATGTTCAACAGTTTCTTAGTTATCAGCAATTTTGCATGTCCAGAACCCCCTTTTTCAGATAAATTGGGAGTCCGGGGGGTGGGGGGCACTGTGGGCCTGATGGATAGAGCTTCATCAGAGCTAAACAACAAAAGAAATCTGAAGCTTCTATGTTGAACAGTTTCTGAGTTATAAGCGATTTTGCATGTCCTGACACCCCCATTTTGAAAGGAGCCCCCTCCTCAAATATGGGATCTATCATAAAACCTGTTGATGGCGCAGTGTAGATCGGACTCATCTACAGTCCTGCCAAATTTCATGTTGATCGGTGCAGCTGTTTCTGTGGTACAGTTTACCAAAAATCACTGAAAAAAATAGTACAAAAACAGTATKACTCCCGCCTACGCTTCATGTGCGGGGGTCATAATAAGCCTATTTTTATACTGGTCAAAATATAATAAAGTCCACTTTACACGTGCTGTAGATTATGGCTTTAACCTCCTTGGACCTGTCACCATACATGTGGACAAATATGCATGCAATGCAAGAGTTTCACATCTTAGGAGGTTAATGTCTTTAATGAAGCTCACCCAACTGACTAGAATGTATTCAAAATCTGAACATTAATTTTAGATTTTATTCACAACTACCAAGCATCTTCATCACTCACCTCAGCCACAGAACTCTGTCCCTGTCTGCTGACCCTGCCTCTGACTCTAATGGAGATCCTAAATCAACAGACATGAAGATGGATTAATCACTGGGTTATTTTACTGCCACCTGAAGTAAGTCAGCTTTGAAAAGTCAATAAAATAACATGAAATAACATCAATAAATAACAGATGACACATCTGGTCTTGTTTCATTAGTAGTTGTGATCCAATAGTCTCATCATGTGACTATTAAAAATTAAAGTTGTCAAAAATTACCCAAGCACTGTTTTATGCTGAAGCTACTCTAAAAATACAAAACTTGCAGKACTTTTTAGGAAGCAATATTTTTATATTTACTGATAAAAATACCAAACCCCCAAATAAACTTTTCTGATCTAGCTGAGAATACCATTTTGTACATGCTCAAAGTAGGTCTGCTTATGCCAGTTCAGTGGCTGGTCTTATCAGGTGATCTCTACTGCTCACCTGCAGTTGTTACAAAAAGGAGGAAACCCACACTGAGCAGCAGCCAGGATTTCTGAGACTTCATTAAAGGCAAAATGATGGATCTCTTTTTTTGTGTGCATTTAACATAAAAATATTAATTTAAGGTTTTTAATCAAACTGTTAGAGTGCTYTTTAGTACAAAACTGTGCAGTTAGATTATCAAGCAATTTCAAGGACTTTATACATAAATCAAGCTCTTTCCAAACCTTGAAAACACCTTGGTAAAATTCAAGCATTTTCAAGGATTTCAAGCACTTGTACAAACATTGATTAATAGTTTTGTATGATTTCTATATCATCAGCTCTATAGAGAACTCTATGTTGCCAACATGTACAATAATAGTAAGTCCAGACTCTTGGCTTAACGCTGTAGCTTTTACAGTGATCACATGTTCACGTGGTCAAAACTCAATCCAGTTGTTATATAAAACCTCCCTGGTCTACACCATATCACTCGCACACGCTCGAGGCACGTTATTGTACATCCACGCTTATTGGCTAAAACCTGTGGCCTTGGCCTGACCCTGGGCTGAACCAAATTCCAATATGCAGCAAACCGAGGGGGCGGGACAAGATGTCTGTCAATTGTTCTGTACCACAAATGGTCTGGAGAAAGTTAGACCTTTTGAAAGACTGTAACTTTCTTGAGGCTGTTTTTCACCAGTTTTGTTGGATTAGCATTTAGCACCGTTGCCCCCAGCAAGAGGATACCCGGTTCCAGCCCCGGGTTAGGCCTGTGGTCTTTCTTTGTGGAGTTTGCATATTCTCCTCATGTTTGCATGGGTAACATGCTCGTTTATGCTGCCTTCAGGACCAGGTCTTCCTTATAATTGCTCCTCTTCGCAGATTAAATAATGCCAGTAAGCTAGTTCATATCTGCAGCAATGAAAGCCTGTATACGTCTGTGTGTGTGGCATGCCTCTCCAGTTGTTGAAGTGGCAATTAATTTGTGCTGACCTGCAGGAATCTGAAGTCAGGAAGGGGGATATTTGACGACCAGTCGCCTCCTAGCCTCTGTGTGCAGTGAGGCGGAATAAATCTGACTTTGGGATTTAAAGTTATGCACGTAGGAGCAGTCAGATTGCTTTCTGCTGGAGCACATAAAGAAGCAATGATAAACACTATGAAATCCGACTCCCGCTGGTTGAGCTGCATCAGACTGTGAACTGCAGCTCCGTTTGTTTTTAGATTTTCCTGTTTTTTTATTTTTTTTATTCAAAGCTGTTTAATGAGCAATATAAATTCCTGAATCCCAGTGTACAAGAGGCCTTGTTAAAATAACCCATTGAAGTGTTTGTTTTCATGTAAATTGGTAATGATACCCAGCAGTACAGTTGTTACATCAGTGAATATTAATTTATTGTCAAACACGATCATTACGGTGCCATGCTGATGTGGACAGATTTCAGGTCTGAAGTTCTGGAAAAAAGTTTAGAGCTTCAGAACCTCCTGATCAAGCTTAAAGGGGTGACAGCAATTCAGCTGCTTTTATAAAATATTTAGATCTTTGTTTTTGTAAAATACTTTTTATTCAATTATTTTTGTTGCCAAATAATTGACAAATTAGTTAAAATTAGACATGTGATATGTTGTGATCAGAACCAGACTGATTAGTCCAATACTATGATTAAAACAAGTAAATCAGCAGAAACAAAAGTGAGATGAGATTCCTTTTGTATCACAGCAAAGTTACTATTTAAAGGTGCACAAAATTTGGAGCCTCAGACAAATAGTGGTGTCTCTGAGTTTTTAGGCACATAATTATTTTCTTCAGAAATAATTGCAACCAACAAAATGCCAAAATGCAGAAGAATTCTTTCATCTTCACAATGTCTCCATGAAAATTCACACAAAAATGTACACAGACTAAATCACTCCCTCCTGTAAAACAACTTATAACAAAATTGCAGACCATGACAGTACATCCTCCATGTTTAACTGTCAATAGGTGATCTTTTYCTGCGAGTTTTAATTGCACACCGGAAAAGAACAGAGTAAAACATATAAGTTYTTCTTTCTCTGTTTTGTGGACACCATTTCAGAAAGATGCTTACAAATATTCATGTGCTTTGGTTTAAAGGATATGGTTTGGTTTAAGGAATCATGTTTCAGTCATTGCTTCTTAATTTATTTGCCATCGACACTAAACTTTTTAAATTTAAAATTGTTTCAGTTTTATGTCCTCTGGCTAACCAAATTAAATATGCTTTGTTGGAAAATTAATTGTGTTTTTGCGGAATAAAAAGCTATACACATGCCTCAGTTTTTATTTAATTTATTTTTTGCTTTAATTTATTGTGCAGATGACAAAAAAAAAAAAAAACAACAGGATATACTGCTGGATGATCAAATATGGAAAAAAAATACAATTTCTATATTTTTATGCCTTCTTAAAATTTATTTAGAAAACGTAAGCAGTTTTTTTTTGTTATTTATGTGTGGTCGCCATTTGTGTGGTATGCTAAGGATTCAGCCGATGGGACTAGTGGAGCGGATCCAGGCCATTGCTCAGAACATGTCTGACATGACCATGAGGGTGGAGCAGATACTGCAGCGCAGCATGGCCAACAACCGAGGTATGATTTTAAAACACCAGAGTCCAAACACACACCCATGTGGAACACCAAAAACAGTATTAACCCATTGTTGTTCTCTAATGGAGTTGTTTTAAATGATCAATCCTGAATGGTGAACTCTTAAAATTAAAGCATTTAGCCATATTACATCCAAATTCTTACATTATTTTTGCTGTTTTTTTAAAGCAAACATTCTAAAAGAATACATTTAAATCACAATAGTGAACCACTACTGTCTTAATCAGATCCCACTTTTGTCAGCTTTCCTAAAAACTCTTTATCCCCAGTGACTTTAAAGTGCAGAAAATAGAAATCAAAATCACACAGTGTGATTGAATTTTATTCTCACCATGCACTCGACTGAACACAGTTTAACACACTGTCTCATTAAAATGTGTCAGACCCCTTTATTTTATTCCCTTGTCATAATTTTGCTGCTATCATTAAAATAAGGCAGGGAAAAACCCAGTTTTGACAGTGAGAGGCAGCGGCACGTTTCATCGTGAGAGGTCTGTCATTATTATGTTAATCAGATGGAATGGCGGGCAGTTATTTGTGTGTGAATCTGCTCTTTAACACTTGGCAGGGTGCAGAAGCTTTAATTAGGCTTACTAGTGCTGGGCTTCAAGAGAAGGAAAGTGAAATGGAAGGATGGGTGTGGGGAGGGGGGCAGTGAGAGGTAGGAATGCGAGGAGACAGACAAAGTCTAAAGGGAAGAAAGAGGATGGATGGTTATTAGTTTTATGAGTCACATTAAAGCAGTCTTTGAATAGTAAATCCATAGCAGCAAGCTTTTATATAGTCTTTTTATCAGGACTTGCTTGTCTGATGTACCTCTGCTTACCCCAAAGGCTGAATAATACTCACTCCCTCCTGGCCCAGAAAACAACAACAAAACATGAGGATTTAACTAAGCAAATGGATAAAAGCCTCTCATTAGAGAAGCGCTGCAGCCATTCATCTATTTTAGTTTGTAGTATGTGATTTAGTACTAATGCAGTAAGTCGCTAGCTTCTCCTTCCTTTATCAACCCTGAGAGCTGGTTTGTTAGGAACCAGTCTCCCATTATTTGGCAGTGCCACAATTCATCTGGCTCAAACTGTGAAAGTGTGCTTCAGGAAGCACAAGACTTCATTTTTACCCTTGGACACAACTGAGTTTAGACTTTAATCTCCTTTAACAATCTTCTGGAGAAGATTCTCCCCGCCCCCCCCCCCAGTAGAACTCTAACAACAAAGCAAAATAAATAAATAAATAAATAAATAAAAATCCAAATCAAGATGAAAATAAATGCTGAGGCGGAGCTTACAAGAGCACCAGAGGGAGTTGCTAGCCATAAAGACATATTGGGGCTCAACAAGGGGTAACAAGTCACCCCATAAAACAGAGCAAGTCACATATGTATTACGTAAGTACAGTACAAATTTTGCACAGAGTATGTTCCCCATGAATCATGTGAATAAATTTAATAAAATTTACAGTGAAATGTAAGGGTACCAAAATTAGTGTATATTGACTGTGCAGGTATTTCTGGTTTCCACAAAATTGTGAGAATTACTGCCAACTAGTTCGGTTTCATGAAAAATGTCCACAAAAAAATGCAAACTGCGAAACACAACTTTGCGGGGGTTCACCGTACTCAGTTATGTAACCTGTAGATATTTAGTTTTTAACATGTAAGTACACCTGCAATAATTATACCATGACTTCTTTAGGGAGCCTGTAATTACCCTGCACAAACCCTTGTGCCTTGTATGTGCCTTGTAAATACCTTGTAATTGTCCCAAGCACGTTATAATGAAATTCTTAAACAGTAGCTCATCTATAACTGATTAATGAATAAAGTCAACTCAGTTCAAGATGGCTGCCACAACTAAAATAATAAACATAAACATTAAAATGGTTATAACTTTGTCAATTTTACAGATAGTTGGGTAAAACTTGATGTGGTGGTAGCTGAGAGTCCTCCACAACACATACTTTGAGCACTTGAAGAAATTTATTGGGGTTGTTTACTACTGACTTTTAAAGGCACTACAAATGTAATAGTCTTTTCTTAGGTGAAGCATGATACAGTTTTGTAAACCATTGTGTGAATATGTTTGTGATTAAACTGATGATTTTATGTTTAGATAGCTACATGCCTGATTCACGTTCAACACTTAATTTATCTGCTGTTTTACATTAGGGCAGACAATGGTGTACAAGGTCCTAGCTCCACCAATAGGGTCGCCCTTTTTAGATGATGCAATAACAATAGGTGGGGTAGCTATGTTTACATGCGCAAAATTCTTTGATCAGTTTGAAATGTATTCAGATTAAATAAATGGAATGTATTGTTTACATGGGCACAATCCGATCATGACAAGTGTTTACATGCACCAGGATTTTATTCAGAATAGAAGCACTGAAATGCGCAGTTGTTAACTTTCCCTAAAAAAACACAGAAAAAAGTTCTACTTCCGTGATGAACATAAACCAAACATTTTCTAAGTGCTCAGAATGGACCCATGACAGGTTTTATTAAAGCTCTGGCTTGTACGGTGGTAAGCGATCAAAAGTTTWTGAAGACATACTCATTTTTGAAGTTCTTATTAATGAATATGCTGCTGTTTGTAACTTTTTAAATTGTCCACATTCATGTTTTTTTCTTTCTTTTTCTAGTTCGAGATGGAGCCTTTGGGTTTTGTGAAATTCCCAAAGATCCTCGTTATCCCGACTGCAGCAGCAAGATGGATGTAAGTTTCATCTGTAAGAGAAGCACAAACCATTGTAAACATTTACCACCTTTGCTGTTTTTAAGGTGAAACTGCAGCATCAGTTCTATAAAACTAAATGTTCATGTTATGATGAAACCCTCACCGATGTGAAAGCATTACTTTAAAGTGGGAGTTAAAAATAGATTTTTATTTACATCCTGTAATCTGTATAATACAGTAAGGTACTGTGTTGGGCACAGTGAACTAAAATAGAAGCATCAGCGAGGGAGGGAGCAGAATTCTTAAAAAAAACAATCATATAAAAGTGGAGCAGGTTTAAAGAGTGCTTTTCATTAATCATATCTGAAAGGTGCAGTTTTTATTTATTAGGTAGATTAAAGTGGGAAAGAGATGTATATTATTAGAAACCAATAGGTTGGCAACACAGTCTCATAGGTAACACAGGTGGAGAAACTAAAAATCGTTGTTGTAAATGAAAGCAGGACTATTAATTTACATATAACTGCACATTCAAAATACTTAAACTCAACAGTTTTATTTAAGTAGTTTGAATAGACCTTTTGGAAAATGTTGTCCTGTCTCAAAAATAAAGCTTACACCATGAAAGTTCACAATCCAGTACTTATGGACTGAAACGTTTGGTGACTAGATAGGAAAAAAAATGTAATTTTGACATCTTCCTAAAACAATCAACAAAATCATTGTGGGCGGTGTGTAAATGAGGACACAGATTGTWGTGTAAAGCACTTTGAGTATCCTGATTGGATAGAAAGGTGCTACGTATATAAGTAAAGTCATTTTTCAGTAAACACAAAAACTTATCCGAACATTTTACAAATGACATACAGGGAGTCTCATTTTATTTGGACTAAATGAGCTTAATTCTRCCTTCCAGCTGCAGTGAAACTCGAAATTGTTAAGTTGGACTGACGTCAGCTCCAAGCTGAAAGCGTTCCATTCTCCAGCTTGTCAGAACGTCAGAAAAAAGCTTCTCTATTTCTTGCTCTAATAGAATAATGCAACAACAACACTTACAACAATAGTGCCATACACAACATTTTCAGTGCGCAAACGGCATTAAAACATATCGCCTAATAATCGCTATAAAGTACTACAAGTTCGACTGACTTAGTGTAATGTAAACACAACAGAACTGCTTAAAACTGAAAAGTTAAAGAGTTCCACTCACTATGGAGAYGAGGAGCAGCCATGTTGAAATGATGATGAGGTGTAAAAACCACGTCTTCTGKGTTCTGCAAACTGCTGCTGCTCCTGAAGAGAGAAACTCTGAAACAGGCTGGTTGAACAGCAAGAATCTTTATTTTGCAGTTCAGGAGATTTACAGCCAAAAAACCAAAYTGTGGCCTTCTAAGCCAAATGAATCACCAAGTAAAAAAGATGAAGACGAAGGCRAAGAGTAGGGGCGYACAAGCMTTTTTATAGGTTACACAGTGCAGCCCAACAGATGTACCATAAATTTTGTCACGRTATACCTTAAGCATTCCTTTCCTAATATGGTAAWATGCTGAGCTCTGAAGCTGGAGACTAAGAGAGACATAGCACATCTGTGCATTCCTGAAAAGAGGCCCCCACTTTTAGACACTACAATGACTTCAAGTGTGGTCGGGTACGGTCGTTTTTCACCCACTTACTGACTCAAAATTACAACGTTAGATGACGTTCCAGTGGATATTTCTGACTTAGAAGTCTGAAATTCCTTCCTTAGAGTCCAACTGGGATGCCGCATTAGTAGGGCTGCCACGATTAATCGATTAATCG